TTCCTCACTGCCCCCTTTCTCTCCACCTTCTATCACTCTACCCTCCACAGAGGCAGAGTGGTGCCCGGTTGGTTGGTTCCGGTGCCCAACATGTCAGGAGGAGAAGGAAGGAGGAAGCAGAGGGGGCTGTGTGACGAGGGGAGAGGTGGTGTCCAGGAGGCTCACCGACTTTCTGAGGCTGGGAGCCACCACGGAAGCCTGGCGGTCACAGAGAGAGGTGACTGAGACTTCTAGCTCCAGTGTGCCTGAACTGCCACCAGCAACTCCCCCCCCTCTGCCCTCACCCAACAGAGGGAAGTGCTCACCCAGCACTGCTCCAGGCCCATAGCCACGCGGGGGCTGCGAGCCTGCAAGAAGTGGGAGTCAGTGGGGAGAGGCCAGGTCATCTTTGATTCCTTGGGGACCAAGGATAGACCTCCGGGACTCTTAGGAAGAAGGGACAGCCAGAGCCCAGGGCGTGAAACCGGAAGGGAGAAGGTCATCTTTGATTCCTTGGGGACCAAGGATAGACCTCCGGGACTCTTAGGAAGAAGGGACAGCCAGAGCCCCGGGCGTGAAACCGGAAGGGAGAAGGGACGCATCTCTGAATGCCCACGGGGAGCCCTGGTGGCGTAGTGGTGACACGTTGGGCTGCGATCCGCAGGGCAGCAGTTTGAAACCACAGAGCTTCTCTGTGGGAGGAAGGCCTTCTACTCCCATACAGAGTTATTACGGTCTTGGAAACCCACAGGGACTGCCCTGTCCTGCCCTGTCACTATGAGCTGGAGGGGCCCTGACGGCAGTGGTTTTTGTAACAGCTGAGGCAGCCTGGGCAACAGCCAGGACCCACGGAGGTGTGACTCCATGGTGGGGACTGGGAAGAGAGCCCCGGAGCTGGGGGTGAGCCAGGGCTGGGCTGCGAGCTAGGAAGGGAGCTGCCTTATGGGGGTCACAGGGCTCCCAGGGTCAGAGTTTATCCTCATCCTCAACTCTGACAAGTCACAGCTGAAGAAGGGGGTGGGGCTTCTGAGCCACCGGCCAGCCAGGCCCAGTGTGACCTATGACCCTGGATGAGGGTGAGTCCCCAGTTCTCCCCACCCCTTACTGACCTGGGAACTTGCCATTCTGCCCTGGGGGAGGGGGCTTGGACTTCAGGCCCCAGCTGCCCCCTTTCTCTGAAGGGACTCCTGGAGTTGAGGGTCCGGGGAGGCGCAGTGGGGGACTGCCCCCATTACAGGGACCTGAGATGGGGAAGGAAGGGGGTGGGAGTGAGCCTAGCCGTTGCTCCCCCCACCCCGCCCCGAAGCTGTCCTCCTAGCTCAGTTTGTCCGGCCTCCCTCCGAGCGGAGACACTGGCCCAGTGGTCACACTGTCCACCTGCTCTGACACGTCACATCCACCAGGGGCAGCACCTGCTATTGGCCCCTCAAGCTCCTCCACTTTCCAGCGACAGCCTCCCATCCCTCTCAGAAACCTCCCCTCTCCCCTGCCCCGGCTCAGTCTCAGTGACCTCACCTGGCCAGGCCCCCAGCCCATTCGCACCGTATCCTGGGATAAAGAAACAGAGCGGTGAGGGGTCGGAGGAGGGGAAGAGGAGGGCCCGGGCCAGTGTCTACATGGGGGCTCCCTCACTCACCTGGCTTCTGAGTCTTCACACCCCCTCCCAAGCCTGTGGGGGGTGGGGGTGGGACACAGTTTAAAGAACCAACCAATGGAAAAGCTTGCGCCAGAATGGGTTTGGTTCTGGCTCATCCCCATGCTCAGAGCAGGGCAGGCCTGCCCCCTGAGAGTCCCTTCCTAGCCTGGGTGCTGCCGGTGGAGCATTGTACTGCAATCCCAGAAAGGCTGGCAGCTCTGACCCACCAGCACCTGCTGCAAGATGCCGCATTCTGCTCCCTCCAGCTGGACTGCCCGGGCAGCCCCACTGAGCCACCGAGTGCCAGCCCAGACTCAGCCAGGTGGGGTGTTTGCTTGGCTTGGTTGTTTAGTCTTTACCAGAGATTTATTCTGCAGAACCTTTGGTAAGTAGTCAGGCCCTTCACCAGGGCGACATCAGGGCTGAACGGACTTCGCCCAACTCCAACCACCACCTGCCCACTGACCTAGACACCCTGCCTTCCTCCCTCCCCAGGCCCTGACCACTGTACCCACCTGGTGGGGCCCCTAACCCGTTCCCTGGCAGGTGTCCTAGAGAGGAAGAGCAGGGCATGAGGGGTGCAGTGGAGTGGGGGACCCCTCTGAGGGGCTCAGGAAGAGAGGCAGGCTCTGAGAGACTCACCTGGTTCCTGAGGTTTCATGCCACCCCCTTCCTCTCCCCAGGATACACCTCCCCACACACCCCACCTTGGCCCCCACTCTTTCAGGACTGCTATCTCCCTGCCCTAAGCCTTCCTTACCTGGCTGGGTGCCTGCCCCTGGGAAGGCTCCAGCTCCGAGTCTGTGCCTGTACCCTGAGCAGGTAGGACAGGGGCTGTGAGGGGTGTGGGCC